CTCGTTCGCGCGGTTAGTGAGAAAGGAGCAATTAGAGGAGCAGGTTTGCGTGTAAGGCCTGTCGCTGAGCCTAAGGAGGATAAGCCAATGAATCCAACCATTGCCAAGCTACTAAACGAGTTTAAAGACTTAGCGGAGCCGCCGACAGGAGTAGTACCGCGGCCGATCCAGCACCGGATAGAGAGAGAGCCTGGCAGTAGGACTCCTAAGGGAGCAGTCTACAGGATGTCCCCAAGGGAGTTAGAGGAGCTGCGTAAACAGTTGGATGAGTTCCTCGAAAGGGGTGGATTAGGCCCAGTTCGTCTCCTTTTGGAGCACCAGTGTTATTTGTCCCCAAAAAGGAGGGAGAGTTACGGATGTGCATAGATTACAGGGGTCAAAATGCGATTACAATAAAGAATGTTGAGCTGCTGCCCAAGATAGACGATCTCTTAGATCGGGTGCAGGGTTGCAAGTATTTTTCGAAGATAGAATTGAAGTCCGGATATCACCAAATAGAGGTTCATCCTGATGACCAGTACAAGACTGCCTTCCGAACTCGATAAGGGCATTATGAGTGCATAGTGATGCCCTTTGGACTGACCAATGCGCCAGCCACATTTCAGCGCTGTATGAATGATGTGTTTAGGCCTTGGTTAGACAAATTCGTCGTAGTTTATTTAGACGATATCTTAGTTTTCAGTAGGACCTTCCAAGAGCATCAGGGTCATTTGAGGCAGGTCTTGGAGAAGCTGAGAGAGGCTAACTTCAAGATCAATGCGAAGAAGTGCGAGTGGGCCAAGACACAAGTTTTGTACTTGGGCCACGTGTTAGATGGAAACGGGATTAAACCTGAGGACAGTAAGATAGCGGCAATTGGAGATTGGCCGACGCTCCGCACACTGACAGAATTGCGGTCGTTCTTAGGCCTAGCTAACTATTATAGAAAATATGGTATAGGCGCCGTGTTGCAGCAGGACGACGGCAATGGCTATAGACCCGTAGAGTTCATGTCAGCGAGGATGCCCTCAGAGAAGGTAGCTACCTCGACTTACGAGAGAGAACTCTACGCTCTCAGGCAGGCCTTAGAGCACTGGAAGCATTACCTGCTTGGGAGGCACTTCAAAGTATATTCAGACCACAAGACTCTTAGGTGGCTGAAGACGCAGGCCAAGATGACACCTAAGTTGACTAGGTGGGCCGCTGAGATAGACCAGTATGACTTTGAGCTCAAACCAGTCAAAGGCAAGTATAACGTAGTTGCGGATGCTCTAAGTAGAAGATCATACTACTTTGGAGGTATAGTCCACTATTTGGATATAGGGACAGACCTGCAAGAGAAAGGTAGACAGGCGTATGCGCAGGACCCTATTTATAGTGACCTTCTCAAGAAAGTTAAGGAGGCCCCAGAGACTGGAACGCATTACCGCACTACAGAGGGATTACTGTTCAAGAAAACCGACGTAGTAGACCGTCTGTGCGTTCCTAACAGTGAGGAGATCCATAGTTTGATCCTAGGGGAATGCCATGACACAGAGGGACATTTCGGTTGGCAAAAGACTCTAGCCAATCTGATGCATGCGTACACGTGGCCAGGAATGAAAGCTGACTGCATAGAGTATGTTCGCAGTTGCAAAGTCTGTCAGAGAAATAAGACAACTACGCGTGCCCCTCGAGGTCTTCTTCGACCCTTGCCTATACCCGATCAGCCTGGCGATTCAGTGTCCATTGATTTTATGGATGCTAGCGTCAAGAGTAGGCACGGCAAGAGCCAAGTCATGGTTATAGTCGAGAGGCTTAGCAAATATGCAGTTTTTGTTCCTTTGCCTGCAGAGGCACGTACTGATTTAGTAATTCAGAAGTTTTTTACCATTGGGTGAGTGATCACGGGATTCCGCTGTCTATAGTTAGCGATAGAGACACCCGGTTCACTAGTCAGAACTGGCAGGAATTGATGAAAGTTTATGGGTCAAAGTTACTCATGTCATCTGGCCGTCGCCCAGAGACCAACGGTCAGACTGAGCAAATGAATAAAATCCTGCAACAAGTTCTGCGCATGTATATTAGACCGGATCAGATCAACTGGGATGAGATGTTGCCCAAGGTAGCCAGTGCGTATAACAATAGCGTGCATTTAGCCATCTGTCGTACTCCCAATGAGTTGCACAAGTCCTTTAGACCTCGCAGACCGTTTGAAGGACTTACCCGGGATCAGATTCATAGGCTACCGCCCGGTACTAGGGAGTTTGCGATGCGGCACGAGGAGTTAGCTGCCGTCGTTGAGAACCTCAGGAAGGCCCAGCACAGAATGATAGAACAGGTTAATAAGCACCGTCGCCCGTCACAGTTCCAAGTAGGCGACCTTGTCTGGGTCAAGTCCAAAGAATTTGCTCCTGACGAGAACATTTCGCCGAAGTCACTGCCTGCATACAGAGGACCGTGGCCAGTTCTAGAAGTTAAGGGCGGAGAGGATGGGCCGTCCTACACGATAGAAATCCCACCGCACCTCCACACCTACCCTGTGTTTCATGCGTCAAAGTTGCTGCCGTGTGTCACAAGCCAACAGTTTCCATCAAGAAGATCCATGATCCCTCTGGACATGGATGGAAGGTATGACATTGAGGGCATTGTAGGTGAAGATGTATTCAGAACAGGAGGTAGAGGCCGTCCACAGAAACAGTACAAAGTTCGATTTGCGTATCAGGAACCCGAGGACGATCGCTGGTTTACTAGGACTGAACTTCTAGAAACCGCTCCCGACGTAGTTAGAGCCTACGAGAGGGAAAAGAAAGGTAAAAATCCGATCTTGGACTGAATTATTCTTGGAGGACCTCGAATTTAGGCCGGCGGGAGTGAAACGTTATTCACCTGTTAGCAGTAGCGAATGCAGATCCCAGGGTTCGATCCCTAGTTCTTACCTTGCCCGTGTACAGTATCTGTGTCGACCCCGAGAGTTGAACCCGTGACCTGTGTATTCACAACAGTTGGTAGGCTGTCGTAGGTCCGTAGGTGGTAGGGGTTCGATCTGTAGACCTATTGGATAGAGGTCTTAGTGAGGCCTAGAGGTCGTAGCTGTAGGTGTCCTGAGAAGTCAAGGTCGTAGCTGCTACAGTCCTGAAAGGTCAAGGTCGTAGCTGCTACAGTGTTCGAAAGGCCAAGTCTCCAGCCTTCCGGAAGGTCCTAGTAGTGGCCTTTCGAAATTTGCTCACRTTTAGACAGAGGCAAGTGGGCAAGTGATGAGCCCAACTGCGGTACGTCGGCGGTGCAACTGCATCGAGTTGGCAGTGCAAACCCATGCAGTCAGCGGTACCGGTCCCAGTCAGTCACAGTCCAGTCAAGCAAGTACCGTGTGGGACTGTGTGCACCAGGGGCATGGGAAAGGGGCAGACCAACGAGCCACAGAAGTATAAATCAAGAGGCAGCGCCCAGCCATTCATTCATTCGTGCGTAAGCCATGCGGAAGCGCTGCTTGAGCGACTTGTGGGGGGTGGTCTGCAGAGCGCCCGAAGACGAAGTGGGCAGAGTTGAGGTGGTGTAGCCATAGCCAGCGGGGTTGAGCGGCCATAGCCGCCGTAGGTGGTAGACGAGTGTAGGGTGTGAGTGTGTGTGAGACAGTGTGTCGCGTGTGGGATATCCAGGGTGATCCCGAGTTGAGTGTGTGTGAACAACAGAGTTGAGCTAGTGACGAACAGAGAGTTGTACAGGCGCTGATGCGCCATAGCCATCTGAAGCGAGCTTGTATCTGAACTGTGTTCTTGATTACCATATCTCTGAGCTTTGAGTGGCCGCTTGTCGCCAGTTTGGTGTGCTACCTGTTTACATGCATGCGAAGTGGAAAAGAGAGTGAGTCTGATTGCAATGTCAACCCAGGATTGTGAAGTATAATCAGCTTCTCACTGATGCTTGCAAGGGAACCGCTCACAGAAAACCTACAACACGCGATCTTTGGGCGACTGTCCGAGTGGGTGGCTATCTCAACCTCTTCCTGTGTGGCCTGCAAGTGCGGAGGGAACTCTGCTGCATGTGCAACTTCACTACATGCACTCGCGACCCCAATAGAAGTGGCTGAGACTTCTATTGGCCGTTCCCTGTTGGCGGCTGCTGTTGCTTTTGCTGTTTCATCATGGGCAGTAGGGAATGATGTGGCCCTATTTGTCAATCTTGAAGCACATCCGTGTATCTCTACGCTCACATCACTGTGATTCCGACAGATTCATTTGCTTCCAGGTTCTCCTTGCTCCAACGATGAGCACCACGAGGTGCACACCTGCTTCCACCTGTCTGGACTCTGGTGTGGTGGATACCCCCATCCACTTCCCCTGTCCTGTGGTGGGAATTGGACTCCACCACCTCCTCAACAGAGTAATCCCCTCCCAGATAATATTCGCTGTCACTATCAAACTTGATCTGATCATGGGGCGCTTGCTTGCAGTTGCTGTCCTGAAAAACTAGGAAGAGAGGGTCTTTGGTTTCCATGTTCTTGGTAATGGTTTTTCCCTTGTACATCTTCCCTTTCTTGAGTTCTTTTTATGTGGGCGATTCACGTGTTGATTGAGGGCGTACTTGGGCCGTGAAACTCTTCAGCTAGGATTTCCTATCTGATTCTGGCAGTGCCCTTACTGACTGTTTCAACGCTTGAGAATCTGTCACCCTGTGGTCGAAGTACGCTACGCAACTTAATCTGATGAATGCACATGACGTCCTAGGAAGCCCTGGTCAAGTGGTTCGTAAGTCTAAATTGATCTTAACACACCTTCTAGGAACTCGTCCAAGAGCATGCTCTCGCCATGCTTATCGATTTGATCGCCAAACCCCTCCTTGATCACCTGGTTTCTCATGCACAACTTAGCGAGGGAAAATCAAAGAGGTCTGACTTTACTTCGCGGTGGACTTGTCACTGTGGACTATGTGAATGCTGTGGGATTTTAGTCGAAGGTTAATGCTTCTTGTGGTATCTAATGGGATCTTTCTTCTTTCTGTTGGTTATACTTTTCCGCTGCACATCTTTGTTTCTGGATCAGAGGAGCCTTTCATCACTGGATCTGTCAGAGGCAATTCCACGTACATCTCTGTCATCTCCCAAGAATCCTGTGGTTGGGTCCCATCTCCTTTCCTCATTTTCGGGTAATCTTCCTGAAGTGGATAGGGTTGATGGAGAGAATAGGGGTGCTATTTCGGTGGATGAAAACTCCTATGGTGGTGGGGTTGGTGGTGGAGAGGAAGCAAGTGCAGAACAAAGTGCTGGACTGGAAGAGAGTCTGTCATTCATGCACCACAGCAACAACAATGCCGGGTCACATGCACAGGTGGCACTGCGTGATGCATCAATACAAATACTGGAGAAGTTCTCTAAAGTGACAAAATTTGCTCGTGAAACGACTGCGCAGCTGTTTGGAGGACCTGGAGGGGGATCCCTAGCTGGGGGAGGGCCTGGAGTCGACAGTCTTGTCCCCGTTCATCCAGCAAATCGCAGCAGTGTGGCATGGAGCACCGGGCTCACCTCTCAGTCCATGATGGTCCTTCCAAGTGAGCGATTGGATGGAGAGAGGGCTGGGTCAACCTTTCATGGACGATCACCTCGTGTACGAAGACCAAGCTTTGACTCGGCTGCTGATGCTGCATCCCAGGTGTGTTGTCAGATTGTTGTGTCCCAGTTGTGTTTGCGAATGCTGCTTCCCTGGAGCGCTTTGGCTGTGTATTGAAATGGGGGGAGCAGCTGCTATGTTTTCTTTTGCCTGTGTTCTGTTTGTGTCCAGGTTACTCCTATGCTGGTCTGCTCTGCGCCATTGACAATCCTTCCACATTTCGTTATTTCTATGCACCCTTCCTCCAATTTCACGTCAGAGTATGATGAAGTACTTTACACTCAGGCCAACTAGTGGTTGAAGCAAAACATAGGGATGAGGCACAAACATTTGTGATGCATCATGCAATTCTGGAGTGGGGTCAGTCTCTTATGTCCTGAGGGAGGGAGTCTTGAAATCAATATTTCAGGTCAAATGTGTTTTCAGTTAGAGTAAATCGTCTGTTATCCTGAATCAACTTCTGCGGTCATTATGACCGTCAACTAAAGGCAGTAGGTCCTGCAGTTTATTTTGATGGCTACAACTGTTGAAAGGATTCACGCTGCGGACACCCAGTCCCTGTCCCAGGGTCCGGACAAGTCCCAAGTCTCAGGGCCGTCCGGTAGGGTAGGCCGTAGGGGCTAGAGGCCAAAGCGTCGTAGGTCGGTAGGTGTCGGTACCAAAGCGTCGTAGGTTGGTAGGAGTCCGTCCGGTACCTGACAAGAAACGTCCAGAAGCGTCCAGTCCAGTCCGACAGTCCCAAGTCCAATTTTGCAGCATGTCCCAGGAAAGTCCAGAAGCTACCGGACCGACAAAATGTTTGCAGCAGACAGGCCGTGGCCGACCGGTACCGGTCTGAAGCAGGGCAGGCCAAGCCAAGCCAACCGAAGCCAGGCCAAGTCCTATATTTAGCTGCTACAGTGCAGCGGTTCATCACTTGTTCAGTTGCGAGATGCGGAAACGCTGCAGCTGTTTGTGCGTTAAGGCAACTTGGGCACTGTACGCCTGAAGAAGAAGAGGGCGCTTGAGAGACTCCATAGCTAGGCTGGACGTAGAGCAGGAGGACGGCGGCCATAGCCGCCGAAGGTGTGAGCAACCTGAGTGGGTGTATCC